CATCCCCCCTCGTGCCCCTCGTGCCCCCTTGGGGGTGGGGGGTTGAAACCCCCCTCAAAAGATAGATTTTTTGAAAAATATTTTGACGTGTTTCGGCGTTTTTAGAAAATTTTTTTTTCTTTCAAGTTATTAGCCCGGTCCGCGACTTAATGGACACCCTGTATAGGATATATTATGTTAGTAATTCAAGATTGAATTATTTAAAGCAACGAAGATCCAGCTCGGACCGTAATAGGCAGTTACATTATAGTATTAATTGAGTTTTTTATATAAAAATATTATTTGTATCTATATATATATAAAAGTTTACATATTTTAAATTCAAGTTTGTAGGTATGATAGGATACTGTCCACAAATTAACGGACTAAGTGATTTTATGACTGGAAGACAATACTTGCAACTTCACGCGGCACTTCGCGGTGTTCCATATGAAAGTATCAACGAAGAAGTAAATAAATGGCTTGATGTATTAGGTAAAAATATAATTAAAAACAAATTGAAAATTTCTTGCATTGTTTAAAATAATTCAAAGTATGCTAATGCTAAATAATCTTTAATAATAAAATTCAATTCTAGATATGTTGGACTTTGAGAATCTGAAAATCGCTCACTATCCTTGGGGAATTCAAAGAAAACTTTGCATATTGCAAAGTCTTACCGGCGATTTACCGATGATATTTATGGACGAGCCTTCTGCTGGGATTGACATAATGACTAGACATGCAATCTGCGAAATTTTGCATCAGATACGGGAGATGGGAAGATCTATATTAATTACTACGCATAGGTTAGTTCATACAAGCTTAATAAGTAAAATACATATTAGATTCAATTTTGAATTTCAGTATGCCAGAAGCAGAAGCGATGTGTTTGCGCATTGGTATTTTAGTTAACGGCCAATTTACTGCAATTGGATCTTGCGAATATTTAAAGGCAAAATATGGTCGGAACTTTATATTAAATATTAAAATAATACCAGGATACCAGTTTACAAATCTTGAGAAAATTAAGAAAATCATTAACGAGACTTTTCCAACAATAAGATTTAAAGATAGTTACTTGGTAAATGGAACTAATTTTATTATTCGATAATTTGGATAATAAAAATATGTTTAAAAAAGATTTTGAGAAAGTATAAACTATAGAAAAGAAATTTATAAATATATTAATTTTTCATCATGACAGGGTGTTCTTAAATACGAATTGGAGAGTGGGATTTCGTACAGCTATGTGTTTGATAAACTCGAAAAGCTAAGACAGAGATATGTGTGGATTACAGACTTCTCGGTTACTCAGCCGTCAATGGATGAAGTATTCCTAACTTTAGCAAAGAAGCAAAGGAAATCTCAAAAGAAGTTAACACTTTACGAACGACTACGTTCTTGCATTATAGGTATATGTAACAAATATAAATAAATTTTGTTATCACATAGCAGTTCTTTGTTAGCATATAACTGTTTTTTATTACTACATAAATTATTTTTATATTTTGTGCTTGTTTGAACAACATTTATCCCAGCAAACGAAAATGGATCGAAATGAATTGAAAATTTTCAATACATCCGAATCCGTATTTTAAATCCATAAAAATGGATTGAATTCCATATAAAAAATGTTTATATATGTAAAAGTTTAAATAAATTAAAGTAGTAATTATATGAAATTCTATAGTTATTATTTTAAAACTTTTATACAAAAAATATACGCTATATAATAAAGGAAACGTGTTAATATAAAATATACATAAAAGCGATTAATTTATTAATTAAAAATAAGGAATTTATATATGTAACATTTATTGTATACATTTACGTAGTTTTTTTTTATGTTTTTTTAAACTATTAAATGAAGGAGAATTCATGATATATTTTTACGATTTTTTTTTAACTCAGTTGAATTAAAACGAAAAATTTCTTATTCATATTTTCGAATAAATTTATAATGCATTTTTAAATGAAACAATGGATTTTCTACTTACAATTTTGAATTGAATAGTATTTGGTTATTGAATGGTCTATTTTAATAGAAAAACTTTTTTTATTGAATTGAATTAAAAAACTGCATTTCCTATTCAGAAATTTAAATTTAGCAGTATTCATCATGCACAGAAATGGCTGATATTATTTTTAGATTGAACTAGATTGAAAAACTGCATTTTCTATTCAAAATTTTAAATTAAGCAGTATTCACGATGCACACAAAATACTATAATATTATTTTTAGAAACAATATGATCAGTAGGTTCTAAAGAAAAATTCTAAAAATATTTTAAAAAATTCCAATTTAAGCCAAACACTGGTTATTATTGTGTATTTTAATATACATATATATATATATATATCATTTATTAAAAATGAATATTTAACCGTAAATTACGGTTTAATTTATTTTTAATAAATGATATATATTAAAATACACAATAATAACCAGTGTTTGGCTTAAATTGGCATTTTTTTAAAGTATTTTTTTAGTTTTTTAATTATTTTTAGATTAAAAAGCATAGAAATATACTCCATGCATTCCTATAAATGAATAAAAATGCATTCAGGATTGAAAAGGATTCATTTTAACATTCATGAATCCATATTTCCGAAAATCTGAATCCATTTTTATCCATTTCAATCCATTTTCGTTTGCTGGGATTTAAAATTTTATCCATTAAGATTATCTATCGGAATACATTATGAATTCAACACTCGATATTAACATATACTTATATCGTATAAAATTTTATTTGCAAATATTAACATTTTCAATACATAATTATAACTATTTAAGTATACAAAAAAATAAATAAAAGTATAATAAAATTGATTACTATTTTCTGCTGACAATTAATGATAATATATGTATAACAAGTATAGTCTCTACCTTCTATTTGATTTTAATTAAATCGTATATCTATATATAACGAAAAGGCCCCTGTTATGAGATACCGAGTTCATTTTGGGTAAATGCTAGAAGTCTATGCGCAGAATTTTAAAAAATAATAGGTCATTTTGAAGGGAATTTAATAAGCTTTAAGATAAAGTTACATAAAATTTAATTCAAATTTCATTTTTTTTGAAAATTAAAGAAATGTAAAAAGTGAGCAAATCGCAAAGTCAAAAAATTGTTCTCCTAATATAAAATGCCCCGAGAAATCGATAGTAAAACGCAAAGTATATCAGTATTGCAATTAGAAAATTATTTAATGTTTCTAAAATAGAAACAAACACAGTCAGCGTGCGCGAAAAATAAGCATGCAATAGATTATACCTAGAACTCGTTTTCAGGTAGTTAGAATTAAGCATCGCAGTTATAGGCACTCGACGTTTATTCCGGTTGTGTTTTTTATTATTGTACAATAACATTGATACTTTAGCAATGATTTTCATATAACATAGGAGCATGGGTTATTTCATATTAGAAATACTCTGGGTATCTCATATTACGATTTCCACGCCTTATGGTTTTACGATCATCAAATCTAACTTCTGTAATTAAACGATTCAACATATCCTGTATTTTTCTATTAGTACGACTATACTCTATCACTACATGAAGAATTTATTGCCAAATATTTATTTATTAAACAATAAACAAGGTTTAAATGCTCATCTCAATGAAACTTGAAAAAATCCAAATTCTAAAATCTTGTTTTACAATGACTACAGGCATAATCTAATAATGAATTTTCTACTAAGTAATTTTTAATCCAAAAGCAATAAATTCATGGTGGAACCAATAGATAGCGTTTATTAGTTTAACAGATACGCCGCTATTTCATATTAGACGTCTATCTTATAATAGGAGGCTTTCCTCTATAAGGTAAATATCAATTGCTATTATCCATTATTCATATTGCATCTAATATATTTATTAATTCAACACACGTACTAAATATAACAAATATAAAATTGAAAATGAACACAACTATACATTCGATAAAATAATTCGTGTTTATGTATGTATAATACATACATATTATTCAAAGAAAGTGATGTTGACAACCAGATCTGCAATACTATAAACTACCTCACCGACGATCGTTTATGTCGATATTCTGCAATTATCCTCGAATCCTATCAAGCATTTAGTATTTTGTTGATGTTTAATTTATTTTGGTAAGATTATATAAGGTTATAAAGAACATTTTGCATTTTTCCTTGGAAAATAAAAACTTTATTAATTATAATTATAAAGAATATGTATTAGAGAAGAAATTCTTCGCTTTCCCCCTCTATGTTACAATGATGTATTCAGGAAACCCAGAAATGTTACTTTGCAGCTTACCAGTTACTGATAAATTACCAATTGTGACTAAAATATATTTCTTTGATATCTGCAATGTTTATATATTTATGTTTTATGTAATATACTTAGACTAAATTATAAATTTTGCAGGATGAAGCAAATCGAAAGAGAAGATGTCATATTTATTAACAATAAATAAAAATATTGTCTCATCTTTATAAATTATTTAAAATTCAAATTATATTTAGCTAAATTTAGATAAAGTTTTACATACATTCAAAATAAAATATAAACTATATACATCTAACGTAACAAATAATAAATCACGAATTATCTGCTTTATTAAAGCTGCTTACATTTGCATAGATATTTGTAAATTATTTAAACACGTTGTATTGTGACTCTTTTGCGCCTTTCCAATAAATGATTAATTGCAACGCAGAGATTGTGGCGTGGCAATGTACTTCTATCACAAACATTGTTAATAGTATTATATAAAACGCGACTATCTCGATCACGCGTGTGTCTCGAGTGACGTTCAGTCATCCTCTTCCTCTTTCGCTCGAAGAAAAGTACGATAATGCATGAAAGTATATCCCAGTGCCGAGACACGCGCCCATTTACGCGAATGTAAATAAATGAGGCACATTGTTATCTCTTAACAGTGAATTGTTCGAGCGAGCGCGTATTATCGGCCCAACCTTTGAACCGCACAAGAGAGAAGTCTCCCCGCGAAAAATCTATTCCCCTCACTTCCCACTCCTAGCGATAAAGCAACTCATCAACCCTTCGTCGTTCCGACCACTTAGACACCCGTGCGTGCACCGTGACGTCGATTATACCGGTCATTAAATCTTGATGCGACTAGGAACCGCATCGAGGCCGGCAACACCTGACACGGCCTCTAATCGAAAGGAGACAATCGCGACCGAGTCACGGAAGGAGGCACGACAATGTAATTACGAGCTGTAATGACACGAAATCTGGATATTAATGGCACCGACACTCCGTAGTCAAGTCTATCTTTGTGTCGAAAATCACGAACAAAATTTAATTCGCTTAAATCTCACCGTCTTCTTCGAGACACCGCGCGCGAGGAAATAAATCTCCACAAAATTCTCAACATAATCATAGAGCAACATCGCAATTCAGCTAATTGCGTCATAATAATAGTCTGTGCGATCAAAGTATCAAGTAATTTTTTCGCTATTGTAAGGTCGCTTCGATAATATTTCTTTTTTCTGACGATGTTTTATCTCTCCATCTATGTATTCTTTATGTAATATTTGACATTCTCGGAAACTACTTATTATATGAGAAACAAAGAAATATGGATTGGTTTTAAAAACACGTAAAACATTTCCTAGGTATTCGTCTTTGTTCAAGGAAAAGTATCGTCTTCAAGTCAAGCATCGCTTTTCCCTCCAACAATATCATAACGTTCGCTAATTAATGCTACTTATTGACAGACACGGAAAAACGATTTTGCTAAAGTATTTAAAAATGAAACTAAATACAGATCTGAAAATAATTTTGCTTGGATTATCAAAATAATTATGTATGACGCTTAAACTGGCTAGAATGTTAAAACTTTTTTTGCAGCATTGCCATCAATGTTTAAGCGTTTTATATTTAATCGCATAATTATTTTAATGATCCAACAAATTCAACTATTTTCAGATCTGTTCTATCTAAATTTTTTTATATTTCCAAAACTATTCGCGATATAAATAAGCCGAAGCAATAAGCTATTAATTTTATGTATAGATATGTACAGCTGTGCGCGATTATGTGTCACGAACATACTTTGTCTTTTCTTCCTCGCGGCTGAGGAAGAAGAAGAAGAGACAGATTGACCCGTCTGTCTATGCCCGATATCAGCGAGAATGATAAAACTGAATCGTAGATACGGCATGTAATTCCCGCCGTGCAAAAGTATATAAATCAGGAATGTAATTTCCATACGGATAGATGAAGAATCTAAAGATGTAAAGATCTTATTTCATTGCATACAGTACAAGCGGATAACATTATAAATAGTACATGATCAGAATTATAAAAGCATTTTGTTTAAGCCGTAGATAATTCATCGTATTAATAATTATAGTCCTGTTCAATCTAAGAAAAAGTGTAGAAGAGTCGAAGGGAGAGCATCATCTTTCTCGAATAGAATCGGTATCTTTCGGGAGCAACGAGCTAATCTCTTCTTGTGCAACAAAAATGAAGCGGTGCCTGCGGCGAAGTTAATTAGCAAAAATCACGAGGGAGCAGATAAAACAGTTTCCACCTCTCTTTCTATCTTTCTTTGCTTTTCTATCTCCTTCGTTCTCTTTCTTTAGAACCTCTCCTCGCTCTTCTTCCCCTCCCCTCCCCCCATTCTAAGTCTTTCTACTTTCTTCTTCTCCCACCGCCGCTTAAATCGAAGGCTGGAGGGAACTCCTATCGAATGAATAAAAGGCTTTTCGTCTGCGGCCGGCGACGAAGCCGGCTGCAATAAAAGCTTAATTTATAAGCCGACCTTCGACCTCGCCTTGGTAAACGCGAAAGGGGTACGCCATTATCTTTACATAAGCGCGAATAAATGGTTAAAAACAGGCACTCATGAAAAAATGGAACATAGATAAAATAATAAATTTGCAGTTTTCTAAAAAAAAACATTGCGCTCTTAGCGGAGACAATTATTAGATAGTTAATATAGATGTTTAAATTAAAATCTACAATACACACAAACTGCAGATGTTGAAGAATATCATGTTGTCTAATCAAAAACGAAACGAGCATAGCGGGAAACCATTAAGGATCGACTCGTTCTCAGGATGACACATAATGCGATCGTAATTTGGGATTTTTGTTCCCGAGTGAAAAGCCGACGTAACCCTTTAATTCCGATGTTTTTGAAGTCATCGGCCGCGCCCACGGCGCGGCGCGGCGCGACATGGCTATCCTCTGGGGGAATGTGAATGTCATTGATTGTAGCGGGAACGGGCTTCCGGCTCCGTCGCCGAAGTCGCGGTCGAAACTCAAACGGCATGTAATCCCTCGTTATATCCCGAGTCGCAAGAATTATCTTGCTTAATGTAGGCGCAATTGCGCGTACCGTCGATAATAAAATGGACAGCACGTCGTTAGCTCCCTTTTCGCGGTCATTCGATTACACGCTGATTACCAGCAAATTACATACTAACATTGCCTTTAATATTACGTACCGCTACTTTTTTTGTACAATTCTCGATGGGCCGACTTTTGCATAACCCATGAAAACGCTAAAATGTTGCATTAACTGTACGATTTCAATTGCCATTTATCGAAAAAAGGAAAAAAATATATAAAAACATCTCATATTTAAATCTTACAGTTTCGTTTTTTCAATATTTTTTTTTATATCATCTTTTGGAAGTATTATCGATATAATGCATAGATATGTAAGAAAAAATAGTTTATGATAAACGTATTTTATATTATTAGGTAGAAGTGCCAGCAAAGACGATTGTTTGTGAAATTATGACGGCCATGGGAAGGTATGAGCCGGCACTTCCGGTCCACGGAGACCGGAACTGCACGCATAGTCGGCTTGCTGTCGCGTCGCGGATGGCCCCCCCAGTTGCAGTGAGAAACTCACCCAAAGTTATTTCACGCCCGGTAGAGCGCGGAAACGAGCATTTACTCCAGATTTCGTTCATAAATCAGGACCTGCCTGAGAGTGTTCTGCCCTCGCTGCTCCCCGTTACATCCCCGCGGTCTACCACGGTCGTGGGGGTTCCACTGGTAGTCAACAATGAAATTTGAAAGCGATTAAGCGAAATCGCTGCGGAAATCAACGTTCTCAGCGAAGGGACGACATGTAACGATAAAATTAACCCTGCTGGTCTGTTCGGGTCTATTTGATCCAAAATATAATTAATTTTTTTTGTTAATACTTTATTTAAAAACTTTCCTGCTATTTGATAACTTTGTCTGTCAATGTAAGATCTTCTTTCTGTAAAAATTTTTTATTTCTTAGAGTTTTTTAATCATGTTGATCAAAACGATATGATTGTAAATTGAACAGATTAACATATTATAATTAATTATAATTAATTAATTATAATAAGGTTAACATAATTGTTCGTAATTTTTACGAGCACGAAAGATGCAGAATAAATTAATAAACAATTCTTTTCCATTGAAAACTATCACTCTTTTCTATGAAAAACTTCTTTTTAGATGAAAACTTAATTACTAGTGTAACGAATTAACATTTCCAATAAACATTCTATTTTGCAATATCACGGATGAATCTGACATCCGTAAAAAGAAAACAGGAAATATCAGTCTATCAATATGATAATGACGAAGACGTAAAATTTTATCTCGCGGATGCGATATACATATGTTACAGCTTTACCCACTTCCGCCGTCGCGATATTTATGTTTCCTCGCGAAGAAATCTTGAGGGAAAAGGACGATGTTGATCAGGAAAATGTTGCAACCGTGATATTATTTTGATTTGGAAATCAACAGGTGGATTGCCGACAGCCGGGTAGCGAGTGCCAGGAGCTCATAGAGAGAGTCAGTTTTCCTCTCTTTTCTTTTTTCATACTTGTTTCAGATCATTTTCGATGTTATCCCTATAGCATATGCCCGATACGGGGCAGATGGTTGAAAGTGTTAAGTTAGCCTACATTGTGCGACACCGGGCGATTTAAAAGGGACCACATTTACTTTGAATTATCGATCGCATCGGTTGAATTTATTGGTGTTCGTTGCGGAAACCTCGAGCGATAAAAGCTGTTACATTTTGCAAATTACAGTTTTAAAAAAAGAATTACGAAACGTGAAGCTCGTTGCCTTATTAATGTTTAATTAATAGGTGCTCGAGATGCAATTGAAGCAATAGCAAATGCGCCGGTGTCGCTAAGGGGCGAGTGAAAAATCGCAACAAAGGCAGACAGCTCGCAAGAGGAAGAGGAGGTGAAGGAGGAGGAAGAGGGCAGAAGCCTCATGATCATACCTTCCACCTGTAGGTACACGCATATATACGTACCAGCACCAATATATACGGGGGATACGTTGGTCCCTTATGTACAGCTACAGCTGCCGGAATGTCTCGACGGTGTTCCGGCAAAGAGAAAGGGACGTACAGGTGCGATCATTAACTCAATTGAATTTCGATAAGGAAAAATGTGCAACACTGTTTCGAAATGAAACGCCTCTGTCGTTTTACGACGATTGTTACGCATCGAAACGTACGAAGCCGACGATCTCTCGTTTCGCAAATTATCGGTATCGTCGGCTTTTATGTTCACGCGACGAAAGATTAAAAATCACTTTTCGGTGCAGCTTGCAACGTATATATTATCTAACGACGTGTTCGCCGTGCAACTTTCGAGGCGTTTCTCAGTCTTTCTTTTTTCTTCTCCCCTTTTCTTTAGGAAAATTAGAAGTGCCACGTACTGTACGGCGGCACGGCCAACGGAAACTCGAAAGGACCTCAAGGAAGGCGAAAGGTGCTCGCGTGTATGCGTGGCTGCCCGCGCTCGTGTGGGACAACGTGTCATTAAATCGAAAAGGCACTTGTGCCGCCTGCACTTGCCGTCCAGGAAGAAGCACCTGACGGTTCCTCCACGAGAGAGAGACACACACACACACACACAGGGTGGATTTTTAACGGTCAAAAACACAACGCGCCGCATATAGTGATTCCAAAGGGTAGGCTGCGAGCATAGGCGCAACGGATCGATAGATGATCGATAATAAGACGCAGGTGCTTCTTTCACGCGTATTGTTCCCGCTCGTTTCCTCTACCACGTTTCGTTCCGACTCTTCCTCCTCTCTTCTTTTTCTTTCTTCTTCCATTTTGTCCTTCTATTTTCTTTTCTCATCCTGGTTCCGCTTCCCTTGCTTCGCCGTTTTTCCGCTTCGCCTCTCTTGTTTCAATCCGATCGTTTTCGCCTCATTGCATTGTAGCACTCTTTTACTAGCGATCTCTTTAAGCTTCTCCTTCTCCACCTCCGCGTTCCTTTTCTTCTTTTTCTCTTACTGACCCATTCGCATTTTCATTACTATCCCCCATCTCTTCGTTCATCATCACAACCTCTCTCGTCAATTGTTTTTTCTTTCTTCGCCGCTCCATTCTGCGCGATGTTTATTACGTTGCATGCCTCTCGGCGTACGTACGTCATTTCGTTTAATGTAACATTACGATTCTGTTATGTCAAGCTTCATATTTCGAGCTCCGATGGAGACGGTTCATTAATGCCAGTTGCATACAACCGTTGCTGACAAAAGCGATAAAGCCTTTCCGCCTTATGTTATATTCATTACGCTTTGTACAACGAGCAATTATAATCCTAATTGTAGATATCGAGTTTCCTGCATTTCTTCTACCGAAGACCACAGGGCGTTGAGATGAAGAACAGTTTATGCGTCGTCTATGCGTCGTCGTTGTAAGTGAGACCACCTTCGTGGGGTGGGAACGCCGAAGGGTGATGGCGCTCCTCCGAAAACGACGGTTGAAAGTCGCGTCGTCTTCTCGCGTGGGACCTTCAGGTAGACGTGAAACTTTTTAGCTCTCCACAGAACTCTTCAAGGCGTTCGGGGTGTGCACCTGCTATACACCTGTTGGCCGTTGGTCGCTACTCCTGCTGTCCGTCGCGAGCGAGTGCGGCCACGCAGTACGTGTGCGGGAAACGTATCTCTTCGAGACCGTTAGAAAAAAAAGCAAATTGATGCGATCTCTTTAGGAGACGGTCGTAACAGGAAGTGGTAAAGAGTAGGAGAAAAGAAGGAATATACTAATAAAAATAAACGAGTGATCGAATATCGAAGGATAATCATCAGAATCACTTTTGTTGCTAGCCCTTTTTTTTATGCGCGTTTAGAAACGCAAATTTAAAGGGTTATATCAAAAGCATGTTTTTCGAATAAAAAGGAATTTTTTTAAAACAGAGACACTTCTTTCGAGTTCTTTTTTTTTCTTTCTTTGAGAACATTTTTTTGCGCGCAAATTTCAATCGACTACTTTGACATAAATGCAGAATCAGGCTTTTGTGAGGAACGTTTTACCAAACGAGAATGTTATGCCGTCAGAGTCATTCAAAAGACGACGCGGCAAAATTGTTTCTTTCAGCAGGCAAAAGCTTGGCAATCATACGCTATTAGCCTCCTCCACAGCCTGATCCAGCACGCGCTCAGGCAACGTCGGTTGCGAAGGTAATTTTCAAACGGGCCAATAGCCACCTCGCATCGGTAGCAGAGGCATTGAAGCGAGCGAAGAAAAGGGTGATCGGAGAAGCACGCGTTATGTCCTACATATGTCCATTGAAAGTTCTAAGACCCTTCGTCTTTCACATTTTAAAGATAATTCTTCACCTATTGTCGCAGAATTCTTTGAAATTCGTGCCAAAAATACAATATATAAAAGTATTTTATAATGGCGTGAAAAAGTACATTAATATTGTTATAGCGCATAAAAGATATCTATGTAATTACTGTTATTTATCTTTTTCGTAGGATTACATGCTTCGCGTTTCAACAATGCGTCTCGCGGATCAACAGGACGATCGCTAACAGCTCGCAATTTACAGGAACGGAGCCGATCGCGCGCACACGCGCAGCCGGATCGTTTCCACCAAAGACGAAAGACGAAAGACGAAAGACGGTTGAAGGGCAATTATCGTGCGAAGGGCCATCAGGTATTCTGTAGCGTGTGGAGGAGTGTATAAGTGGAGGAGGACGCGGAGAAGCAACGAAGGCATGATGAACGGAGAGGCAAAGGGAATCGAAAAGAGGAGCGTCTGATACACTTTTAATACGGGACCGAAGGAGCCCCCTGCACAGCAGGTGCACCGCAGGTGATTCTCCTCGTCCTTCTCGCACGCCGTGCACCGTGCGCAGGCAGCGCAGGGCGCAGGCTTCCTCTCACGACTCCTCAGTCCTCACGGCCGGCCTGCACCCTGCGTACGCGATCTCCCACAGTGGTGGACTCCTCTTTTTTCCACGTGGAGGGGAACAGAAGGAGGGCTTTTTCACTGACTGGGACTCGCTGGGAAGAAAGGATCAATCGGTAATAGCTGCGCCAAATGCGCCCGCCTGTGCCTAATGATTACCTAATCATTATAGATTCATCGCGCTCTCCAAATTTCGAATTGGAACACATCGGCCTGTTTGAATTTTTTTTTTAATACAGACGCAAGTGAAGAAAATAAAGAAGAAATTATGCGAGTCGTGGATTTAATGAAATTGGATATTCTATCAAGATATAATTCGTTCCGAAGTCGAATTTGTTGTAAATTTATTACTATATATATTTAATATTGAATAAAGTATTTTTTTTACTCGTTTGTCTCATTTCTATTCTATAGATTTTTTACTCGTACAAATCCACAAAAGCATTGTTAATCTTAAAACGGTGCCGGTTTTAGTACGCCGCCCGTAGTTGAGATTCTCGTTGATGCGTGGGAAAGAAATAGGGCGCCAAACCCTTTTTTCGAGACGCCCTGCAAGACGCTGGGGGTGGAAACGTAACCGATACGCTCGGCAGGACCTTGTTTGAATTTCATTAAGCTACCCGACGCCACGTCGGGATTTTGTTCTGCTTGACTGCCGCGTCCGTCGAAGCGACCGAGAACGCCGCAAACAGGATTTCTTGCGTGCATTCCGCAAATAGTGACTTTAAATGTTGAAAATAAGAATAAACGCATATTAAAAATACGTGGCATTAAAAATCTCGAGTCGCAAGAAATGTGTGTACTGTTCCAATGATTTATTTCTCATTTAATCAGATGATTTATATATTTACGTGTTGAAACTTCTTAACATAATTATGTTTTCGTAATAAAAAATATATCTATATAGAAACATCGTTATTTATGTGTTATTCATGCTGCTAATTTCACCATCAATTCAAATCAATTCTAATTCGATGAAACTATTTCTGACGTTATTCATGAGCATACAACCAAGTGATTTTAAAGAGCCTATTTTCTGCTGCGGAATTAAGCAACATTTATACGCGTAAAGCGATTCAGACACGATTCCCTCTTATCGCCGATGGGCGCGCGTGTTACAAAGTAACTTGCGGCACGAAGAAAGTAACACGTATTCTCGTACCCAATATTATCTAAATTACGCGAAACACGCACATTCGCGCGCGTCGAAACGCTCATGGCGCCGCAGATGAGTAATCCCTCGTAGGTCTTCGATGCTTCCGATCGGTTCGTCTCACCTGCTGAATAACGAATAAGTTCTGTTAAAACATGTTACTCGCCCGGGTCGTCACGCGTTTACATTACCACTACGTTACGTAACGCAATTTGCACCGTGCACTCAATGCCCATGAAAGAAGAAGAAAGAGCCGGAGGCGCGGCGAGGCGTTAACACTCGCGAATTGACACTTACTTTCTCTCGATTACCATATACTTGGGGATAAAGTCGCGGCGTGTAAAGCGCAGAGTAAACAGCAAGAATGAGTAGAAAGCGTATAGTTGAATATATAATAATACCACCAGAGACGTATGAGCACTTGTCGAGAAGCGCGAATGATAATAAATTAACGATAACCGAGTGGCCGATTACCTTGTAGACACAACATGAAACCTCGTTACCTAGGATACACTGTAGAACGATTAATTACGAGCAAGGTCGGCCATCTGATCACCGTCTCGCCTCGAAAATGGAATATGCATGTCACAAGTGCGCAAGCTGCAGCGACTCACACTCGGGAGTAGCGAGCGGCCGGACCCCCATAAAAGATCGGCGCAGCTGGATTTTTTGGAAAAAATCCGAAGCGAGCGCGGGCATGCGGTTGCTCCAGGGAGACAGCTAGGAAGACGAAGAAGAAGAAGAAGAAGAAGCCAGAGTGCTGATGGAATAAAGGCCACGAAGACGTAGAATAGAACGAAGCAAATGAGAAGATAAAGGAAAAAGGCCTCGGTGGAGAACGGAGGTAAAGTGCGAATAGAGAAAGAAGTAGAAGAAGAAGAAGAAGAAGAAGAAGGAAAAGTGGAGGAAAGATCAGAGGCAGCGGAAGAAGGATAAGAAGATTCGAAGGAAGAGTCCGTCTGTGGCGGTGGAGTTGAAGGAGGACAGTGAGGTGAGCAAGGTGCTGCCAAGGTGGCGGTTAGGGCAGCTGATCTTCGAATAGCAGCAGGTGAATGTGAAGAAGCTCACGTGGATGAAGCGAGATGGGGAGAAGATGGCGGTTGTGGTAGCGGCCGTGGAGGAGGAAGAGGTGGAATCCACGCGTGCATAAAAGGTGTTTCGTTATTGTTACCAGGCGAGCGGCAGCCCCTTGGATTTATTAATCTTGTTCTGCTGGCAACATGGTCCCGTGCCATCGCCGTACGACTGATAGATCAAAAAAGGATGGTACCTTCTGCTCATCGCGATAAATTCCTTCGTACATATGCTCGAATTTCAGAATGATCGATTTTAGAATCATGCGGGCAAGATGAACCATGAAATCTCTAATTACATTTATCTGCGCGACGTATCGATGTCTTATCGTCACCGCATTATTTGATCACGACAGATTAATCCTTATAATGTACATAATAACTGTCATTTCTAAGAATACAAATTGTCATCTCAAACGACGAATGCAAATGACCCTCTTGATCGATGTCTGTTTATTTGCAAGCCTTGATATGCAATTATGATAAATGATATCTTTTGATAAATATTTTTGTAGCTGAGGAAATATTACAGCAGAAATTTTTAAAAAGGTTTACATTCACAAATCATTGATAAAAAATCAACAGTATCAGAATTTTATCAAAAACTTATATTCTAAAATAGATTCATAAAATATGATTTGCAAATATTATATATACATATATATATATAGCATTATTTAAAAAAAATTAGTCAATAATAAAACTACTAAAAAAATTAGAGCAGATTATTCGTATTTCAGGCATCTAATTAATGTCTCCGGTGACATTATCTAACGTTTGACTAAAAAAGAAAAGAAAAACTTTTGTCGCAATGGTGACCGCGTCATAGAAAAGTTTACAGTCAATTTCCCGTCAACAAAATGAGACAGATCCCTGTTCGTTCATCATCGCGTGCGTATGTATACTCGATCGACGACATTCTTTCCCATATCGAATGCTCCGTGGAGGGTACCGAGGATGAAGAAGCCACGCAGTGAGATCAGAAAACAAGCTCTACTCCGTATGTTTTCGTATGTTTTCGTTACGGTTGTGCGCACACAAAAACGCACGTATTTACTTTCATTATACTGGTGAACCGACACTTCTTACCAAATCTTACAAATCATGTCCCATCGAAAGGAAAAGAAATTAGCAAAGAAAAAAGAATTCCAAACGTTTAATAACTACATTTTACATTTTAGTACTGCCCAGGTAAAGAGGAGTATAAAATATTAATTTATTTTTCTATCGATAGAACGCAATGTTAATTCCATCAATGACGCTCAGACTAATTAGTAAGCTGAAATTAATATAATTCAGAAATTATAAAATTTTTTTTTATAGAATTCCTCCATTATACAGTTTTAAGATTTGCTTAATGTCATTGCTTGTAAATATCATTATTATGCAATTTAACCGCAATCGTTCGAGCACGTCGACGACAAGGACGAACTCACTCGTACACCCCCGTCCACTTTGCGGGCAGAAGACGAAGGGGGACGATACACCGTGTAGGACCGTTCGACTTCCTTGCGAAGGTCCGTTCCCATGTCTTCTCCCGGTTCTTGCTTTATGGGGCTTTCCGTTGTCGCCACTTCCCATGGACTTCCTAAACATTGACTTCCTTAAAGGAAGCACAAGGAAGAGCAGATGGCCTATTAATTCGATTGCCGCGAAGGAACCACCGCCACCATCACCGTCATTACCACTACCAACGCAGGCACCTTGCAACATGCATGACGAAGAGAAACCTCGCGAGACGCCCTTCCCTGCGTCTTCCCAGACGCAGTGCACGCACTTGTCACGCCCGTTTTCAACCGTTAAATTTGTCCAATTCCCCAATGACCTCATGATAATAATATAACAGAAAAGCGGAACTTTGCGTGCCTTCAGTTAATTTTGTATACGCAACGCGTGTAAAAATAAAATTAGTATATAAAAGTAATTAAAATTTAATAGTTATTGATCTTGAGAGAGATACGGTGTCACTTTCGTTTTTTATTCGTTATCTCGTCATGTTCTGCAAGATCAATGCGCAACAACTGTACCAATGTAAAAGACATGTAATATATAGGTCTTATCGAAGATGAACAATTTGCATGCTGTTAATAACAGAATGTTCTGCCAGGGGGCAAAAGTTTTGAGTGTCTCTTAACAATCTGATTGGTATTGGATAATTATTACTGAGTCATTCAGTCTTTTTTTTTTGAAAGTCGAAGTAAACGATAAGCACGTCGAAGAATCGAGAGTCTGTTTTATCTCGTATCGGTCGGCCGATCGGCAATAATAACACATCTGACGATGCACTTTGCACCATAAGCAATATGTGTATACGAAATATAACATTAATAATAAAACCGGCTGGGGTGACACTTTCTGACGAACGATATAGCGCAAATATCGCTCACAAGAATCTAAATTAAAGCGACAAAGATGATTTTCTGTCTGCTTACAAAAGTAAGATATTAAAGATCTTATCACGAGAAGTAATTTGAAACATTCAGTTATCCATCTAACTATTATCGATCAAAGTATGAAATCATTATCTATT